ACAAACAAAATTTTTTTTTCTTTCCTCTCTTTCTCTCTCTCTCTCTTTTATTTTAGACAAATTGTTTTGCTTCAAACTCAAAACCAAACAATAAAGATGCTAACCTAAAATAAAAAAAAAAAATGATTTACCCAGTTTAAAAGATACAAACAAAATTTTTTTTTTTTTATTTAAAAAAAAAAAAAAATGGCACCAATGCCAACTTAACAAATTTAAAATGAAAGATTTTCATGAACTATTCAGGAATTACTGTACTTGCTTTTTGCATACTTTATTCTGGGGTGGGGGGTATGAAACTAAACCAAGAGTTGTTTTGAAAGAAAGAAAAATAAAATCTAAATTTCCCCAAAATGATACACAACTTCTTGTGATCTATGCCAATTAAATCTCTAACTATTGCATATTGTAAATGAATGGCTATTTTGGTTAAAAGAATTAAAACACATTCTACATAAAGAGAGAGAGAGACATTAGATTTTACAATAAATCATCTTGATTAGAATTCTACTGTATATAACATCCATATTTATAATCAGTCTTTTTATTTTAAAATGGAAACATTAAAACTAATTTGTGTGTGTCGGGGATAATGTTGAAAGTTATTTTCAAAATAAATAATGCCAAATAAATATAATTTTTTGATCAGTTAATTTTTGTTTTTAGTAAATTCAAAGAAAAAAATAAATATTTCATTTGGACTATTATCCTCATCATTGTTATTGATGCTAATGTAAATAATGATGACTGTTCATGAAAGAAGTTCAGAGATAAAATTATTATGCTACAATTTTATTTTAAAAAATGAAACTGCAATTCCTTGAAATTTTTGCATTCTTTTAAGGAAATATTTTTGTATCAGTCATTTTTTGTTAGATTCAAGAAAGTAACCTGAATTAAAATAACCTTTCCTAACATTTCCAATTCAATCAAACAACTAAATTTTTTTAATTCAGATAAAGAAAACCTTAAATACAGTGGGTTGGTTGCAATGATTGTTTTTGATTGCAAAATGGTTTAATGACAATAAGAAGAATTAGCAGATGTATTGAGATTATCTGTTTTTCAAATGCATTAGCAATAAAGCAGTCATATATTAGGAGAATCGGGTAATGTGACAAGAAAAATATATTTTTTTATTTGGCTTTTTAAGAGAAATTTGATAAAATTATTTCCAAATATTTAAATTGAATCTTCTTTTCAGATGAGATTTAACAAAATGGAATTTCTGAAGAGGCCGATCAAGTAAAGTTAGTCAGCATCTGATTATATATCTTATTGGTGGGTTAATGATATTCTTAATTACAGGTGATCCATTTGATATTGGCAACCAAAGATATCTTTAGTCTTTTTTAGACTGTCATGAAACTTATCTAAAAACCTGTTTCTATGATTGTCTAAAAATCAAATTTAAAAATAAGAATTAACTATAAGTAAATCTGTACTTTAAAATTATTAAAGAAATCCAAAGACTTTAAATTAAAAAAAAAAATGATTCTGGTCAATTTTTAATTGACCTCTTTTGAATATAGCAAGGATTTAACTCTGCTGTTGATGCTTGTCATCTGGAAAATACAGAACATGTAGATATTGAAAACAAGGCACTTATATAGACAGAAGTCCTGGTCATGCGTTCATTGATAATGACAACACCTTTCCTGAATACAAAAATGCATTACAAACATTTTTTCCACACACTATTTTGTTAAAAATGAAAATGTCTTTGTTTAACAACAACAGAAACTTTACCAGAATATTTAACATCAAGTTATTTAACTTGGCTTTGAAAAGAATTCACTGAGCCTTTTATAAACATTGACAAAAGTAAATCTTGGAGAACTTTCAACATGAAAATTTCATTGGATGAGATGAGAATAAACTTTGGGATACAACATTTTTTCCATCAAATTGTGCCATGGAATGTGACTTTCTTATTGACCTCAACGGCATTATTCGACTTAATGAATGAAAGATTACATTTTGTATGTAATTTGAGTTGTGGTAAAAAGAAAAAAAATAGATTTTACATTCCAAACAGTTTTGAAATGTCCAGTTAGTACACTGGTAAATCTAGAGGTACTAGAAGCAAAATAATTTTCTCCAATAAAAAATAAAAAAGATTATATCAGGAGGATAAAATTATCATTAATGAAACAAATTAGGATCCAACATTATAAAAATTTGAAATTATTTACTGAAAAATCCAATTTAAATAATTACCAAAAAAATTTAAAATTAAATCAGAAAAATTGCAAGAAAAAAAAGAAAAAAAAAGGGTAATGGTTTGCAATCAGAATCAGTCAGTTGGAGGGAGATGGTATTCACAAATTTAAGAATATTTAATTTCAAACATTTAATATGAAAATTTCTTCAAAATAAATTTCTGGTATCTAATTCTTTCATTGCCAAAAAAGATTTTTTTCCTAACTGCATTAACGTTCCCCACTCCCAGTATTATTCAAAAGGTGAGCCAAGATATTTAAATATGGCCAGATTATTGGACAAACTACAAATACATGAATATTTGGTCATTTATATAAAATTCTGATGAGTGTTCACTTCATCAACTTTGTGCTAATGTCATTGGAAAATACATTAGTTAAAAAACAGGGAAGACTAGACTCTTTTGCCTTGGTTGGCAGCCAGTGTTGGAGAAGGAAAACTGAATTCAATACCTTGTAAATAATTGATTAGACTGGACTCTTTATAGCCTTGGTAGGGTAATTAGTCCAGGTGGACAACTTTGAATTCAAAGCCAGCTTAACAAGAGAATGGATCCATCTCACGCTAGACACCTGCCTCAACCAAGCATGATAGTTTATGAGATTAACGATTGTGATGATCATGAATAGGAGATAATTTTTTTTTCCTAGTGTGATGACCTTCCAGCAATTTAGTAAAAATGGTTTGTACATATTTGAGACTATTTGCTACCAGCCATAATTAAAAGGAGAGAGATTTACATCTGGGAATCAGAAATGTTGTCCTCATAAGTTTCAAAGACAATGATTACTGCATCAGAAAGTTCTGCCATTAACAGATTGCAGCGTAAGGGAGACGTATCTGTTATGTCAGTTTCATTTTCAGGATACTATTTGATGGAATTTCATTGTATAATATGAAAAATAAATATGGAATGACTGAAGTTTTCATCTTTGCTTTATTTATTTTTAAATGATATTAATTTATGATTTCCTTAGAAATTTTTTTTTTTTGTTATCCAATCAAATTTGTTTCTTAAAAGATTCAATTATGACCAGAAAAATGAATCACTTGTAACAAATTGGCTTTGTTAAATTTAAAAAAACACTTGGCTTTTTTTTCATTAAACTTTTTCTGTTTAAAAAATAGGTTATAAAAGTCTGAAATGTTAGAAATATTTTGATGACTCCCCCCCCCCCAAGAACCGAATATATTAATCCAAATTGTCAATGGAATTTACATTCTTCAATGTATTTTTCAATTTTCTTTTGAAAAATAAAAAAAATGTCCTGAGATTGACATGTGTAAAACGTGTTTTCAAATTTAAAGAAATTGCATTTAGTTAGATTTTAATGAACAGATGTTAAAGAGATTAAGGTTTGTATTTTGTCAACTTTTTATTTACTATCATGTTTTACTCCAGGCATAAAAATGGTAAAATTCTTGGATATTATAAATACATGTTTTTGATTCAAAAATTTTCTCTTTTTCTTTATAGAAATCCTGTTAAATACTTTTACTGAATATCTATAGTTAAATATAAACTAAAGTTCACACTTCAATGTAAATCAACACATTTTCAAATATATACTTTTAAGTCATGTCAAATTAAGAAAGAGAAATATTTTTTTCACTGATAATTCTCAATAATGTAAATATATTTTTGTTTTTTTTGTCTCAAAAAATAAAAAAAATCTGAATTAAAAAGAAAAATGGCTGTTTTTTTTTTTCTTCCTGCTTATTAAGCCATATTGAAAACAGGTTAAAAAAAAAAATCTTTCAGTGATATTGATAATTTTTTGCTGGATTTAAAAAGGAAAAAAGAGGGGAGAGGACATTGACATTTTGTTAAAACTGAATCACACACTTGGAATTATCTCTCTAATATTGCTGAACAAAAGAATTTCTTTCTCATTAAAGACATCTTTTCACCCCCACCCACCGGATTATTTAAAAAAAAAAAACCTCTTTAACATTTGTTTTCTGTGATCATGAAAAGACAATTTCATTATAAAAAAAAAAAAAATTTTTTTTTTTGATTAAAAGGTTTATCCAAAATATACAGTTTAAACATACAAATGCCATATATTATTTTTCAGTTAAAATATAAATGCGATATTTTTCTCTTCTTTTGCCTAAACTCCTGTTTCTATACTTTTTTTTGACAAGGTATCCGATATGGAATCAATTGGTTTTTTACCATCAGTAACGTCTGTTTCTGGATAACTAGAATACATGCTGACTGACCGTGATTGGTAACTGTTCGTTTCTGAATTGTGTTGAGTTGCTACAAAGGGTGGATTTGGTGGTTTGTCATTTACTTTCTCTGTGTTTGGAATCGAGAAACAAAGGGACTCAAACATCTCGTATTTGTCAAAAGGTATGCAGATGTACCTGTTGTGAGTTGGATGGCAGAAATAATAGTAACAACAGTAGTGCATCATTTGCAGAATGGCACCAAGGAGGACAGCAAAGAAAGTCGTCAGGTGATACCAGGTTCCCATGTGTGTCGTGAAGCGGAACCAGATGGCAAATAGTGTAAAGTTTTCGGTAAAGAAGAGGAAATAGTATAAGAGAACTCGGTAGCGCGATCGGCCATCCTTGACGTTGATATAGCAGAAGACGGAGACTAGGGCACAAAGCATGTTGAAGAATGTCTGCCAGACATTATTGATGCAAAATTCCAGCTTCTGACATTGAAACCAGAAAAACATGATAAGCCAGTGGATGCCAATTGGAAGCAAAATCCATTCATAGAATTCCGTGATAAACATTGAAAAGACAATGATGCGTGGTCCTACTTCAAGAGCTCGCCATAGAAAGTAGCCGATGACTCCACATAGGGTTTGGTTTGCATGGTCAGGCCTTGCAAAACGAAGGGCTCGGTGGTATGATACAAGGGACCAAGAGGCACTCAGCCAAGAAAACAAAGGTGAAATTATTCGTAGCACATCTGGAAAAGAGATAGAGATGAATAAAATTTGTCAAATACAGAAATTGTTATTAGAGTCAAGAAAGAAAAATATTGAAGGTGAAATGGTTTCAGGTATAAAATATGAGTTTTGTGTCTTTTCTCAATTGTCTGTTTAAAAGACTAAACAAAAAGCAGATTGTATAGATTAAATAGAGGTTTCAAGAGTTTAATATTTTTGTGATCAAGGAAACATCCAGTTGGATGGATAATGGTGATGATTCGATCCATTATACATGCATGTTTTAGCTGTGAAGGTCAGAACTGATGGGACTAAGGAGTATAGCTCATCGGAATATGCAAATTGCAATAGAGTACTGAGATGCTTGTGGTACTTAATCTGTGGGGCAAGGGTTTGCAGGGTGGAAAATAATTCATCATCCCCAAGGCTACATAGATGCTTCTCAAGACTATCAAGACATTACAATGAGGGTCAGGTATTGCCATCCAGCAAATTGGTTTATTTCCTCACTTCCTCCTCTTCTTCCAAAAAAAAAAGAAAAAAAAAAAGGGTCTTCTCTTTTCAAACAAGCAAGCAATAACAGTAATATAACAGTCTATCCATCAATTCATAATAATCCTTTTGAAATCCAAAACAAAAACACCTTCCCACTGCCGTAGATTCTCTTGAAGATGGTAAAGGCTGCTCTGAAACTTGTCATATATTATCTTTTTCATTCTCAGAAATCCATTTCACATGGCCAGGGGCCATCTTGTGCAGAAAGTTTTTATCTGTGTGATGCAAAAAGTGAAAGATAAGTGTTTAAATGCTACCATTCCATTCTAGAAGTCAATGGAGAATTCATTTTTATAATGTCTGATTTTCTCCAAAGGCTCATATCTGAGAAATTTTTATAGACTAATATCACAACCAAAAAAGATATGAGTAAACATTAGAGACACTTCTAAGATTTCCCTAATATACAGAGGAGGTAGAATAAAAGCACTGATGTTTTGTTTTAAATTATTATTATTCAACATGGTTTATTAATTTCAATCCAAAGATATATTAACAGATACAAACAACCGGAGGCTAGCAAATAATACACTGGCAAACTACATCTTGTCATCTCTAAAAAATCAAAATTTGACAGTTTATTACAAGATAAAGAATGGGAATTGTGTTTTTGTAAACAAATGCCTGGAATACCTTGAGATAAGAATGGAGATTGTTTTCTTATCATGGCATCTGTCTAGTAAAAAATTTTTAAACACTGAAATAAAAAAAAGAATCTTAATACACATTGTCAAGCCCAAAACATTAAGACAACCTGCCTAATAAAGTGTTAGCCTTCCATGTACTTGCAAAACAGCTCTTACCAAATTGGGGCAAGTACTGTACAAGTTAAATTTGGGATCGGGTGGTAGGACATTAACATCAAGTCCACTAACTGCTGCCGCATATGGCGGGTGTTTTGTTGGACAAGCTTGATGATGTAACACATCCTGTCAGTGCTCAACAGGTTTACAACTTAATAATTTTGGTAGCCATTATAATGCAGCCTCCTTCATCTTAGAGCCATTTTGATACAATACATTCAGTGTGGCAAGGGGTATTCTCTAGTGGAAAGAACTCTTGACATTAGTATTGTTGATGTATACAACAAACTCATTTCTATATGATAGGACTCTGTATTTTCTAGAATACTGCATCAACGCGTTTGATGCATTTACTTCTACAGGATAACTACAGAAAAAGGACTTTCAGGAAAAAGCATAACTCATCTGGCCAAGCAACTTTCTTCCACTGATACAAGATCTAATTTTGTGTCCTGGGTATGACGATAAACTACATCCAGCAGCAAGGCCTCTTAATTGCTGTTGTTCCCAGCTCCACCCTGATCCTGGGTGGTAGCACCTGCTAGGGTCCCAACTATAAGCAAATAGTTACCTCCCCCACCAACTGGAGTCAAAACATTATGAAAAAATAAAAATGCATTTTTATAGCGAAAATACTAGCCACATATTTTCAGAGTAAAAAGCATTACCAGTAATATATTTGTGCAAAAGAAATTACTAATGCTTCCAAGAAAATTAAATTTTGACATTAAATGACTCATAAGGAGTTGATATGCCGCTAAACAAAGATCTAATTTCAACAATAATATTTCTGCTTTAAACATTTTTGGCAAGGTACATTGTTAGCATTGGTATTCAAACTGGCCTGTGGCTATACAATCCCATATCCAACAAAGATCTATGTATGCTGTTTTACAACTTAGTTCTTTCTTTACTTTGATCCAATTTTTGTCATTATAGCTCTTCCGAAATTTGAAAAAAAACACATGTGCAAAAACCTTGATTTTTGCAACAAGTGACAAGAGAATATAATTAGTTGATTGAATTTGAGAGATTCATAATGGTTGCAATGAAGGACAAAGGGTTCCAAAGGCAAGCAATGAAAGTTGTTTTAAGTGAGAGGTCTCGATAAAAAAAAAAAAAAATCAATGTTTGCAAAATTTTCAGAATCTCAGAGTGGCATAAAATCTGTTTGAAATGAGCTATCATGCTGAAATTTTCAGGATCAACTCCTCTAATGAATGTTAACAAATGGTGAAATTTGGATGAAATCTGAGGACCTTCAGGATGGATCCTTGTTGAATCTAGTAGGAATGACCCCCACTGTAAACAAAGAACTTATGTGGAAGATCTTGAAACGCTTAGCATCCCCTGAACATTTCGTAGTTATCATCTAGTCATTTCATGATGACAGAAAGATATCTGCTAATGTTGGTGGTTTACTTTCAGAACCCACCAATTTATGAAATAATGTCAAGTTGATTTTATGGAACCTCTATTGTGTTCACTATTTTCTTTTCTCTTGTTCTTCTCCATGCCTTTAAGGACTGTGGTCAAGATATGTAAATTCAATATTGTACAGTTTACAAAAACAAACCAATACTAAAAAAAAATTGTATGCCACATCAGCAATAAGCTTCGCAATTCACTTATTGGCTTCAAGTGACATTGTCATTCTCAGGAGTTTGATCAAGCATGTCATCAGCAATAGTCATACTTGTTTAATGAATCAACAACTATATATATATAAAGAAAGAGGTTGTAGTGGTTCCAACGAGAGAAAAGTATGTATATTAAAAAGAAGAGAAGGGAGGTGCTGCAAACGTTTTTGGTTGTGATGTAAAAAACAACAAAAAAAAAAAAAAACATCACAACCAAAAATGTTTGCGGCACCTCTCTTCTCTTCTTTTAATATATATATATATATATATATATATATATATATATAAATTTTTCTGAGATGAGGTATTGTAACTATCTAACACTAATTACATTACATTAGTCCTCATCTTTATTGCTATATTCACAACGTTTTGTTGTATGCTCTGGCCTTCTTCAAGTGATATACATTTGAATTTTTGAACCGAATGCTTTATTTAGTCCACTAGGGTAGATTATTCTAGTTCCACATACCATGCATTTTCTGGATGTCTCAGTTCAGTTATTTCCCTTTAGTAATTGAATTTTCCAAGGCAAGGCACATGGAACTAAAGTGGACTAAATAAAGGGTTCAGTTCAAAATTTCAATGCATACCACCTGAAGAAGGCTGGAGCTTACAATGGCTAAAATGTTGTGAATATGGCAATAGAGGACAACAGTCTGAACAATGTACATAGTGTAAATAAATAATTGTTTGCTTTCTTCTCAGAGTTTTTTTGCTGATGAATCTTGTGCGTCAGGCAGAAATTAATTGTAATATGAACTTTTTTCATCATATAGTATACAATGCATATAATACACACACACACACACACACTACAGTTCAGTTCAGTTCAAAGGTTTGAAGCCACTCCCAGAATTAGCATGGGATGAACTTGACAGAAGAGTGGGAAAAAAATGAAAAAGAGCTCTTGGAGTCATTGAAAAAAATAATGGAATCAGTTATCAAACTTAAACTTTGAGAAATTTTTGCAATGAATGCCAAGAATTTGTGCTGCAGTAATCAAGGCTAAAGGAGGATATTTTGACGAGCAAAATTTAATCATAAAATGCCTCTCTTCTTTTTGTGATAAAAAAATTTCTAATAACAAATCATGTTTCACTTTTTTTAACCATGGATAATAATTTTCTCTTAAAGTACAAAAATACTTTTTGAGCTAATTTTAAAAAATTACCAGGGGTGGTCTAAAATTTTGAACTGTAGTGTGTGTGTGTGTGTGTATATATATATATATATATATATATATATATATATATATATAAAAATATATTTGAACTCGGTGGGTGAAAAAAACCTGAATAAGCAATTTTCAAACAAATTGGCATCTGAGGAAAAAATTTGGAACAAAAAAAAAAAAGAAAGAACCAAAAACCCCAAAACAGGGTGAAAAAATTGTCCAGTACCTTAAATTTCTGGTACAAAGAAAAAAAACAAAAAAACTAGTAAGTAATAAGTTAAAATGAAGAGTGCTCAATACTCTAAGCAGAGCAAAAGTAAAATAAATAAATCCTAATGATCCAGGTACTATCAGGCTAGGTTTCACTACATGGGAGATCATCAGGTTGAACTGGCTTTATATATATATATATATATATATATATATATATAGAGAGAGAGAGAGAGAGAGAGAGAGAGAAAGAAAGAGAGACAAAGTGGAAAAAGTTTTCATGTGCTTCATCCCTTGGGAGGAATTTACTCTATCGTTAGCAAGGATTGCCATAAAGAATATATTGGAGAAACCTCAAGATGTTTAAATAAAAGATTATATGAACACAAAAGAGACATTTTAAAAAACAAAACATTAAACGCATTAGTTGCTCACCGTAATGAGACTGACCCCAATTTTGAGATAAAAAATACTACTCTAATTAAAAGAGAAAATAATTCACTAAGACAAAAATATTTAATATGCTTTAATCATTAGTTCATCCAAAGTAAATTCATTGTCCAGATTCTTATGTTTCACTATTCTTGGCAGAACTTCTGTTATCACAATGTAGGATATTTAATAACAAAGATGAT